TAAATAAATAAATAGTTAAATAAATAATAAATAAATAAAATAAGTTGCCTATACACCTGAATTTATTGTACAGCGCATGCATTTGCTGCTTCTCTTCGACAACTTTCTTCTTCTATTTCTCCCTCTTTTGCTGCTGCTGCTGCTGCTGCTGCTGCTGCTGCTGCTGCAGTTGCCCCTCTAGGCCTTGCTGCTGATCTTGCTGCTGCTGCTGCTCCTTGTTGCTGCTGCTGCTGCTGCTGCTGCATTTACTGTCTGCTGCTGCTGCTGCTGCATCTAGCTGCTCTCCTCTCTCCCTGCAGCTATCGCTTGCTGTTGCTGCTGAGAAGACAGTAGATATGCTGCTGCTGCTGACTGCAGCAGCAGGAAGCTGCTGCAGCAGCAAACCTGCTGCACCTGCTGCAGCAAGACATATACCTTTTTGTTCCCCTCTTCCTGCATATAAAGACATGTCACCTGCTGCTGCTGCTGCTGCTGCTGCTGCTGCTGATGCTGCTGCTGCTGCTTCTGCTTCTTCGCTCTCCCTTAGAGGTACATGCAAACCCCCCATACAGTCCACAGCAGCAGCTGCTGCTGCTGCTGCTGTTGCTGCAGTTGCTGCTGCTGCTGCTGCTTTTGCTGCTGCCTCTTGAGTACTCAAGCTCATGCACATAGTAGATGATGTTACTGCTGCTGCTGCATCTGCTGCTATAGAGGAGCAGCAGCTGCTGCTGGTGCTGCTGCTGCTGCTGCTGCTGCTGCTGCTGCTCTGTCTACTTCTAGCAACTGCAAAAGACGGAGAGGTAGCCCATTGATCAACTGCTGCTGCTTGCTGCTGCTGCTGCTCCTGCTGTAGCTGCTGCTGCTGCTGCTGTGCTGCTGCTGTTGCTGCTTCAACTGCCCAGAAGATATCTCCTCCGCATTGGCTTACAGATTGCTGCTGCTGCTGCTGCTGCTGCTGCTTGTGCTGCTGCTGCTGTAGCTGCTGCTGCTGCTGCTGCGGTGGTATATCTCCTGCTCTCCACCTGCCGTCTTTAGCAGCAGCAGCAGCAGCAACTGTTTGTGCTGCTGCTGCTGTTGCTGCTGCTGCTGCTGCTGCATGTCTCTGCCTTTCTTGTTTGTTTGTCTTGCTGCTAACATCTGACCGTTTGCTGCTGCTCATAGGGATGCCTTCCTGTTTGCTGCTGCTGCTGCTGCTGTTGCTGCTGCTGCTGTTGCTGCTATGGTTGCTGAAGTCTGTTGTTGTCCCCTTGTTGCTTGCTGCTGCTGCTGCTGCAGACTGACGGTTTTGTCCTGCAGCAGGAAGGCCACGAGGAGGAGTGGCATTGTTGCTGCTGTTGCTGCTGCTGCTGCTGCTGCTGTTGCTGCTGCTGTTGCTGCCTTGAGCAGCAGCTTGTTGTTGATTATGTTTTCTTGTTGTGCTTGCCCTTCCACTGTTGCTGCTGTTGCTGCTGCTGCTACTGTTATTATGATTGTTGCTGCTGCTGCTATGATTGCTGCTGCTGCTGCTGTTGCTGCTGCTGCTGCAGTTCCTAAGGATATCCTCAGCAGCAAAAGATTGCTCAGATTTTCTTGCTGCTTCTCCTCCTATTCTTCTTTCTCTCCATCTGCTGCGGCTACCTTGTGCTGCTGCTGCTGCTGCTGTTGTTGTTGCTGCTGTTGCTGCTGTTGCTGCTGTTGCTGCTGCTGCTGCTGGGTGTGGGGGTCCTGTCCTGAATGTTCTGCTGTCTTTATAATTTGTTGCATGCATCTGTGAATAAATAAGAGGAAAATTATTTGCTGCTGTTGCTGCTGTTGCTGCTGTTGCTGCTGTTGCTGCTGCTGGTGGTGCTGCTGTTGTGAAGGAGGAAAACACACCAGCAGCAGCAGCAGCAGCAGCAGCAGGAGGAACAGCAGCAGCAGCAGGAGCAGCAGGATTAGGATAGATAGGGAGTAAATGATTTGCTGCTGCATTGAATGTTTGTCTTTGTATTAAATCATGTGTAGATACATTTGCTGCTGTTGCTGCTGCTGCTGCTGCTGCTGCTGCTGCTGCTGCAGCTGCTGCTTCTGCTGCAGCAGCATTTGCTGCTGTTGGTGCTGTTTGTTGTAGTTGTTGTATAAGACCCATACCAACTCCCCCACCCATGCCTGCTGCTGCAGCTGCAGCTGCTGCTGCTGCTGCTGCTGCTGCTGCTGCAGCAGCAGCAGCAGCATGATTAGGTAAAAGATGAGGAAATATAATTAATCTAACAATAAGAAGAAAAGGATCAGGTAATAAAAGGAGACAATTAGTTATTAATAAATATTTATTAATTATATTTATATTTTTTTCCTTAGCTATATAACATAAAAATAATAAATATTCTGCTGCTGTTTGTTTAGGGTAATATATATTATTCTGCTGCTGCTGCTGCTGCTGCTGCTGCAGCAAGAGTAGTAATTGCTGCTGGTAATGTATTAGTAATAACTGCTGCTGCTGCTGTGTTAATATATTATTATCTCCTTCTCCTCCTCCTCCTCCTCCAGCAGCAGCAGCAGCAGC